GACATCCAGCAACCATACCAAAGAATCTTCTACTATACAGAAGAAAGGAAGCTTCATCTCTTACTTCACAAGGGAGAAGTTTTAGCAACTGAATCTACTTCACAAAGGAGTCTCCATCTTCTACTACACAGAAGCAAAGTTCAGAAACGGTAACAAAGAACCTTCCACTACACAGAAGAAACTAAACTCTGAATATAGCATTCGACCTTTGAGGTATTTTTCTTTTATACAACAACAAATATCCAAGAACTCTTATACTTCTTCATCACAGAAGCATCACCCCATCTTATACTTACACATAAGAAGCATCCAGCTGAGGAAAAAGAGTCTGAAATGGTTTTCCAAACATGGAATGAACCTTGGAAAAGAATCCAAACAAGTACCAAACTTCATACTTCAACCCCTTGTAGTATCCAATATCTTGACTAAATGCCCCAGAACGGGAGACACATCTAGCATTTGTATCGAAATCAGGAGAGAAATTTGTTGGAAGGTGACCCAAAGTACGAAGTTTAATCAACTGAGCTTCCAACACACGAGGAAGTAACTGGATACAAGGTATAAAGATTGTATCAACCTGCTTCTCAAGCTTTCTCTGTCTCTGCTGGTAAGTTTTACCCCATGGGTTCACTTGGAAACCAGAAACTAGTTGCTAGCAAGAAAATCCGAGAACACGAAGCTCTGGGTGAGACCAGACCCACAAAGTATCTCATGATTTGAAAAAAAGTCCCATAGGCTGGGGATGAATGACAACTCCTGTAGCAACACCATATACAAGGCCACTTTCCCTTGCTGGTACTACCTTTATAAATTCCATACCCGACTCAACTAAGTCTTCAATTGGCTATTTTTCTCCTTGAGGATTTCTGACTACAGGCCATTACTGGCATGTCCCTAATAAACAGCCCCATCTTATTCTATCTCATCGAACTCCCCACGAAGTTATTCCACGGCTTTTTCGGATAACAGAGCAGTGAGAAGTCAAGATTCACAATTCTGAAGAGAAAATATCGGGCCTGAATAAGGATTTCCCATTCTGAGTACCTTCTGAATACCTTATATGGATGCATGAAGATGTATGAGGCGAGCGAGAAAGTTCTCCCTATGATATGATTTGGACACTACAGTCTCCGGATTGATCTCGTCTTGGACCTTGTCTCTAGATAACGTACCATCTTTAATCGAATGATCAATTGCCCAAGAAAAATACGTGTAGAAGATTCTTTCAGGAGAACAACTTAATGCTTTTTCAAGTGAAAATTGCATCATCAGGCATACTACGCCACAAAACTAATACAGCCTGTCTTCTATCAAAACAAAAGAAACATCCACCCGGTGAAAGAGAGTTTGGAAGAGACGCCAAATAGGTGTTGGGCTTTATATTTCAACCCTTTTGTAGTCTTTAATATCAAAACCGGGTACCCCAGAATAGGATATGTATCAAGCATACATATCGTAATCAGAAGAGATGTTTGTGAGAGGAAGACCTCAAAGATCAGAGCTAGGAAGAACTGCGAATAACAGGATATAATGCATTGGGCTCACATCAACATGCTCATCAGGATTCTTCTGTCTTTGCTTAAAAGCTTTTCCCTATGAATTCACTTGGGGAATAAGGACTGGCTCTTGTTGAACAATTTAGGGAACACAAAGTTATGGAGGATGCCTCTGATTAAAAAGTCTGATGCCCCGGTGTGGCAACCATATCTGATTTTGGTCAATAAGAACGAAGCATTGATATAAGATCCTATGGTAAAATGGGAAGCATCTGCTGATAAGATGTTCCAAGAACTCAGGATTGCGTAGCACTCCATGGTTGGAAGCAATTCCCAAAAGATGAGGAGAAGAGAGAACCTTTACTCAGTAGGTGCAAGATTGTTGACATCGTCATTAGAGCTTCCATGACCTGGTTCATCTGAATCTTTAATCAATTATCTTCCTGCTTGAAGATATTTTTGACTACGGGACAAAGCTTGCATGTATATCACTCAGAGCTATTCCATAACCGATCCCTGAACAAGTGCAGTAAGAAATCAAAGCTAAACCTCTTAGGAGAATCATGTATGAATAAGAATCTCCAATCTTTAACTACCTGTTATGGATGCATGAATATGCATGGAGTGCATGAATAGATGCCATGTTACGTCCCTTCATTCCCAAGGAATTTACGTGCTTTGATTTTGATTTACGTAAGTAAAAGATGGAAAAGTTTGGCACAAGGCTTACAAATACGATTCCTTAGAAATCACAGAACATGTATGTTAAGTATGTGGTTAACCATGTTATGTATGCACAGATATGAGATCAAATGGGATCAAGGTTCCATCATTTCTGGGTATGATTGCTGCACTGTTCTGAACCACATGAGTATTATCAGATTAGAGGTCTGGCGTGGCTTCCGCACATATAAGAGCCGAGTAATATGTAGATATCCCATCGTACAGGGTCAAGGCTTCTGGAACATCAGATACTGTTGAGCATTTCTGAATATGCTGGGAATGCCAAGATCAAAGGCTTGAATGAACTTCCAAGTAAGCAAGTCAGGAACTCAGAAAATAAATCTGAGAACCATATGGTCAACAACAGAACACCATATGCATAAGTCATTGACAGAAGTCCATAACATGATCATTAGAACCAATAATCACCGTATGATCATAGTCACTATCTGAACATAGGTAACCATCTGAACATAGTCACCATCTGAGCATGGATAACCATCTGAACATAGTCACCAACTGTACCTGTGATAAAATTCTCTCCCCGCTCATGGGTGAAGACTAGGTCAGGGTAAGACAATGGTAACTCGAAAATCACGGGTCCTCCTGAAAGTGCTATGGGCTTACCCACAGACGTGGGTGCCGATAGTAATTCATTTGAACCTCATCCGAGCGTGGTATATGACAAGACTGCACTAATCGGACCACGTACTATAGCCGTCATGCCCCCACTCTATTCCTAGTGTCCTAGTGCACTCTGGCCTGGGTACTGGGCTTTTTACCTCAATAGTAACATCCCCACACAACATGGAAAACCAGAATCTAGCATAATAGATAACAAATATGGAGAGCAATAAAATGCAATGCAAACTTGTGCTCAGATAAACATGTACAAATGAGTAAACTGAAAGCATAAAAATAAACACCCTAAAGAAAGAAAACAAGAGCTAGGAGCGACTCCAGAATGGACCAGCATTTGGTCGACCTGTCCTCAGTGAAGTCGCAAGCTGAAACAATCGGCTGAAAATCATCAAACAATAAAGTCGCCATCGAACTTCTTTTATCCCACATGTAGGGAAAGGTAAACATCGAGGAAACCTGAAAAGGGTGAAATCAAGGTCGAACGACCAAGAGATAATGGTAAGGGAGTCTGTTACGCGAGGGGAAGGTATTAGCACCCCACACGCCCGTAGTACTCTACGGTATCCACTCTCGTTGTCTATCTTATGGGTGTGTTTGGTCTATGCTTATTGTTTATTACTGCTAAAGGGAGAATGCATGCAAAAGAAAGAGGGAAAAGAATCTAGGGAAAATAAAAGTTGTGCTCGTTCGGGCCCTACCCCGATGCCTACATATCCCTTTTAAGGAATCAGAGCAGCCGTAGTTCGGCTTACATGTTTTTGTTGGTTTGTATTTTTTTACTGAACAGTATTAATTTTGCGTTCTGCCACAACTCGGCCTTTGGAGACTTACGCGTCAGCACATAAGTGAATTAACATGCTCTCTTGAAAAGTTTGGAAAGAAATGTGCCTGAACGCACAAAAAGTTTTGAATTTCTTTGTGTTTGTAATGAACGGTATTAATTTCACCTTCTGCCGCAACTCGACCTTTGGAGATTTACGCGTCAGCACAAAAGTGAATTAACTTGTTCTTTTTTGAAAAGGATTGAAAGGAAAGGCCCGAAGGCAAAAAAGAATCTTGTGTTGGTTGATATTTTGGCTTGTAGATAACAGCTAGTTAACCTCAAGGGAGAGATTTTAGTCATTTCTCCACTTATTCATGAAATGATTCTTTGAGACTTGAATCATATCACAGCTTAGAATAAGATAATAATAAGGTTGAGAAGAAACCCGCTTATCATATCTCAAACTTAGCCAAGACATGGTTCTTGTCAGTAAATTTTTATGTATTTTTGAAGTTTGAAAGAAAAAGAAGTTTTTTGTTTTAGATGCGTGTGTGAAAAGGGAAAGAAAAGTCAAAAGGGGACTAGCCTATTTCTAAACCTAATGTTATTGTGTATTAGACCTAAAGTTAGAATTTTGAAGGAATTCTACCTAATGTTAGCATGCATATGGTTTGCGATAAAGTATCGAAATGAAGCATAAAATAGGGTTGTGATGATACCGAACGGAGAAGGTCCGTTGCCTCTTCAAAATTGTGCAAGCGGTAAGAAAATTCTATCAAAGTTTCCTTGGGCGAGTGATTGAAGAATTAACCCCGAGCATTCCACATCATAAAAAGTTGCATCATTACTATCACGAAATCTTGACTAAAATGGCAATGAAAATGATTATTAATCATAAAATAATAGAAAACTCTAATAAAGTTCTAAAGAGAAAACCTAAAAAATTCTAAAATATTCTACTATTTTTGTACCGTTTTTATTATCAATTGAAAGAAAAGATTAAACTATGAGAAAACTAAAATAATAAAAAATTAAGTTATAAGAGTCAGGGGGTGAAATTGGAATACAAGTGTGCTGAAGCAAATCGCTGCTGAGCCCAATGCAAAATGAGTCTAGGAGATTTTTTTTGTGATGAGATCCTATTGTACAAAAACATCATGGATCAAGACAATTAATTCCAGCCCAAAAGCTTGCCACCAACATTCTAATCAGATTTTTTTATTTATCATGTTACTATTGTTATTATGTTTATTTATTATATAAAAAAAATAAATCAAATAAATAAAAAAAAATTAAGTAAGAGAATGCATATGGATTTAGGGTTAGACATACTGGGACTACCCAGCTTCTTCGTCCTTCATAACGGCACTGCGCGAATGAGCTCCGCCGTCTGCCTCTCATCAACCGCGCGATATCTGCTTCTCTCATATCAACACATATCACCGTTGACGCTGAAGCTCCACCCACCTCCGTCATCAACTAATGTCGTCTTTGCTTTGCTCAATCTCACTGATTCTCGGCAGATAACATCAAATCCTTCACCGGAGACGAGTCTGGCGCTCCCTTGACGGCGGAAAGAAAAAAAACAGATAATCAAAGGTATCACATTCTTGACTTTTCTTTCTCTTGTGATGTCTGCTTATTATTCTTCTTCTTCTATCCGCTTTCGTTTCTGCAATTTCGTTTCTATATGAATCGCGAATGTCATACGGTCACTGGAGTTTTGTTGTTGCCGCGATTCACGATTTCGGAATGAGGAGTTTGTTGTAATGATGTAGGTTGGTGATGATTGAAGATTGACGCGATGAAGAATAGAGATAGAAGATGATGTTTATTCTTGAAGTTCGGTGGTGTAGGTGTTGCATGTGTTAAAAGTGACAATTTTGTTGAAGATTAAAGTGATAGCAGTTGAAGATTGAAAAGAGGTTGCAGAGGGAATTCCAGAGGAAAAGAAGTTGCAGAAGATTCAAAGCCAGATTCACTAACAAGGAAGGTTGAAGATGAGTATTCTTCCGAAAATCTCAGAGAGATTCAGAAGTGAGTATTCTCTGAACTTTTTCTATTTTTCTGCATAATGAATCTTCTCTGAGTTTTTTCTTGGTGAATAACTGATTGTGGATTTGAGACTCAATCCTGATATCCTCTCCCTCTCTGAGTTTTTTTGTTTTCTGATGGTGATTCTTCCACAGATGGAGAATGAAGTTGTGGAGGTTGAAGCTTTTGTTCTGTGTTGAAGTTGTTGTGTTCTTGAGCTTCTGAGTGCTTCTTGAGTGATGTAGAGAGATGAGAGATTGTGATGATCTTTTGAGTTGCGTTGAGAGGAAGGTGATGTGCAGTTTCTGAGGTTGAAGATTGAGTGAAGGTGACCGTTGTGAGGGTGTTGAAGTGAAGGAGATGGAAGTTCAGATAATATTAGAGGCTGATGATGGTGGAAGATAGAGATAATGGTGATGATGAATCATGTTCCCGATTCAGAGAGGAAGAGGGCCAATTTTATGGTGATTTCTTTAGTTTTCTGAATCATGAATTTCTATGTGAACCTCTATATAACCTTTTCTGAGATATTTTTGTTTTGTGGAAATTCATTGATGAATGCAGAAAGAGAGAGAAGGAGCAGAGCCAGGATGAAAGAGGTTCAAAAGTGAAGGTGGAAGTTTTGGTGTGGGAGAGAAAAACCGAGAGTCCAATGAATCAAGGTGAGCCCCCTTTTGTAAAAATGCTATGAGTTAGTTATATGGTTAGGAGCTTAGAAACTGTTAGAGTTAGTTAGAAAATTCTGTTATGTTAGAATTCTGTTAGAAAATTTTGGTTAGAAGTTTTGTTCCTAAGCTGTTGAGCTGAACTATTTAATTAATTTTCTACTTTCCAACTTTCTATGCAGTTTGTTTTCTGTTTTTTTCCGGTTATTGCAGTTAGAGAGTTTGTTAGTAGTTTGTTAGGATGCAGTTAGAAAATTCTGTTAATTCTGTTTGCAGTTAGTAGTTTAATTGTTAGAGAGAAAGTTAGAAGTTAGAAAATCTGTTAAGAATAGTTAGTTGGCAAGCTGAAAGTTATGTCATTGGCTTGTTAGTTTTGGTTCTGATTGTGGATTGTTTTGATGCGATTTTACAGGTTGAGTTCCAAGTGGCCAGTAGGATTTGTGTTGAAGCAGTGTGAAGATTATGGTGAAGAGGTAAGGTCAAACTGTGGGATTTCGTGGAAGACATATGAAGATTAGGCTTTGGTGTTGTGTAGGATTTTTAAATTTCTTTTGTAACATGATGGTAAAATTGTAATGAAAATGTTTTGAATGACATCTTGTATTGCAATGTAGCATGGAATTAGTTAAACTTGCAATGTAATTTTGAGAATTCAATGATAACTTCTTCAATGTACCTTTCTCCTCGAAACTGATTTTGAAGTTCCAAGTTCTTTTTCTCAAATATTTCCTTTAAATACCTTCATATGAATTTAAATAATCATGGTATGAATTCAAAATATTTGCAAGGTAACCATAAGAGACTTTAATCTTGAATGAATTCTTGAATGACTATTTGGATGAAACTATGGTTGTTGGATTCAAGAACTTGTGGTGTAAACAATTAACTTGCTAACTGCATAACTGTTTTTTTTATTTTCTATGCAAGACTGTTTTGAGAGTTTGTTATGATTTTGGATTAAACTTTTAGCATGTCTTCAAATATTTTAATGGAATTCAGCGGAAAGATTTTAGCTGACAACCTTCAAAAGCCAAAAGATTTTAACTCAAGTTGGATTGTCTATGTCCTCTTGAACCAAGATGAGGAGTTGCAAAGGTTACAAAGTTCAAAACCAGCAATTCGGGCTTCATAGTTCTGTTCAATGCAATTTTTTGTGTGCATTCTGTCTCCGCTTTGTAGTTTGAAAATTCTTCTGGTAACCTCAGCTTCTAATGTTGAAGAGTATTTAAAAAGTCCTGCAATAGCATATCTTGCCACTAAGCCTCCCAAAGAATGTGCGACAAAGGAGATCTTCTGCAACCCTTTTCTAGTGCCGCTAGTTGCGAACAAGCTGCTAAAACATTGGTGAAAGTAATGGCATCTGGTTCAACAGATGATTGTCTCATTTTGCTGAAGAGGTTAAGTGCTTCAAAAAGTTTCCCTTCAGTTATATATCCAGAAATCATAACATCCCATGAAACTGGCGTTGTCTTCGGTATCAATTTAAAGATGTTTTCGGCTGACTCAACCTTTCCACATTTGAAGTATAGATCCATGAGTGAGCTGTTAATAAAATATCAGGTTGTATTCTATTGCATATTATATATCCATGAACAAACTTTCCCTCTAGTAGTTGTACTGAACGTGAATATGGTTTTACCTCAACAGAGTTGCATCATAATATTATTTATCTCAATAGTTGGTACAATCTTATTGAGTAGTCTGATGAGTAACGAACAGAACTTTGTAACAGCCCAGGCAAGAACAAGTTCATGAATATTAATATACTGCTCAAAGTAGTCAAAGTTGGTTTGACTCCTTCATTGTACATTCTCTTAAAAAGTTGAACGCATGAAAAGCAATCGCCTTTAAAACCATATCCTGTAATCATGGAATTCCAAGTAACAACAGAATTTTTAGGCATTTGCTCAAAAACTTCTATAGCCATTTCTAAGTGACCGCATTTTCCATACATGTCAACAAGGGCAGAGCTAACAAAAGAATTCAGCCAAAACCCACTATTAATCAACTCCTTATGAATTTCCCTCCCTAACACAAGACAAAATAGCAGTTGTGATTGTAACTGAATCCAGTTCAAATCCATATCTTCTCATCATGCCAAAGTATCTCAGAGCTTCTTCAAATTTCCCGCTTTGATGATAACAAAAAATCACCATATTCCAGCACGCCATATCCTTATCAGGCATTTCATCAAACAATTGTATAGCATATACTCAAACTAATTGCATTTGGCATACATACTCACAAGAGAACTTCTAACTACAATATCCACCATTAAATCAGTTTTTTATCAAACAAGTATGTACCATTTGATTATCCTCTAAGCACTTCACTTCATGACTCGGTGAACGAATTCCAACCAACCTGCATATTTAATGAACTAGTCCTAAACTCGAGACATGTCATAACATTCAATCAAATCAACAATATTCATGCATGAACTCAGTCCAGACAACAACCTCTCCATATTGCAATTGCCCAAAATCAAAGCCTTTATTCATGTTTGTCTAACTCAATTAGCACTCTCTCGCGTCATATCTTATATTGTGCTTCAATTTTTGTAATTCAAGTCGCAAACATGTGTACTTGAAAATGTAAGGCTAAAATCCTTAAGAAATTTCCTTGAAGATGATACTTCCCGTCGCACAATATAAGGCTCTCTGAGAAAGTCCCTTGATAAACAAACCCTAATCTCATGATCTTTGACGAAAAACTCGATTGGACCCATATTACCGAAAATCTGGCTTTAATCGCATATAGGAAAATAAACCATGATAGCCTCGTGTCTTGATGAAGAAAGAAATTCTCAACTACCCAGGTCACAACCCTAATTCCACTGCTCACTACCTGAATAAGAAATCAGTCTTTATTGGATACGAACGCCTTAACCATTGCGAAACCCTAATATCGCATAACCACTGAACCTTGAACCAAAGAGCTATATTGAATGAAATATATGCCATGTTAGTGACCTAATGAAATAGATGCAGATGAATACAAAAGTCTAAGCCAAAATAAAACAAATTAGGAGGGCAAATTTTGGGGTGCAACAATAGGTACTTGCTCAAGTCAAACTTTTCACACTTACACTTTTCAAAACAACTTTCAAAACAAATTTGTCACACCTTTGAGGACCGATACAAGGGTTATCACGAAGACAAACTTTTCAAAACAAAGCACATACACAAGCAATTTAAAAAGATGAGCAAGTACCTAAGAGCCCATGGAAAACCATGGATAGAAAGGGTGTTAACACCTTCCCTTTCTATAATCTACCCCCGTACTAAAAATCTCGAAAAAGGATTTTTTCTGTACTTTTTTTCCTCTCCGATTGGATAAAATAAAAGTCAGTGGCGACTCTTGCTTACCGCGACATTTTGCAAACACAAAACGTAAAACGCAAACCAGCATTTCAAACTGTCGGTTCTGCCACCGTATCACAGGTGGAATTATTGTTGAAAAATGTGAATTTTCAGGTGATATCATTGCCTCTATTGATGGGAAAAATATTAAGTTGCAGGCTTATGGCCAATGTTGAATTAAGTTGAATTATTGTTGTTGTTATTGTTATTGCGTTCATGTCGTTAATGCAAACATAACATATCATATTGGAGCTGATGCTCGTCAAGTTGGCCTGGATTGGCAAATATAAAGTTGAAGGCTTATGCCTTGTTGATGCCTCTATTTATTGGCAGATTTCTAAGTTGGGAGTTCTGCTCCATTGGTACCACATGCATGTGCATAGAAACGAGTCGCATTCCATGTTGCGTTATGAGTTGTCGTGTGGATGAATTAATTATGTTGAATGTTGATAAAAAGCTGTGAAGTGGTGAATTGTATGATCTAATACTAATATATTGTTTATTGTATATCCGATTATATGGTTTGATATCTCACCCCTTCTGTTTGAATGTTGCCCTCTGTTGGTAACATGCAGGTAATAAAGAAGGTTAGATGTTACCCTCGTTAGTTTAAGTCGGTGTTGTCTCTCTGATACGTAACACTCAGGGGGATGAATGCATGTTTTCTTTATCGTCAATTTTCATTATGTTACTGAATTTTTAAGTTGTTTTCATTAAAGACTTGTTGTCTTAAAGTTGTTGGGAGTTGGATAAGATGTTATGGTGTTTTCAGTTGAATTTTTTGAATCTGCTACGTAGTAATGAAAGTTGTTTTTATTTTTAAAGACTAAGCTGGTAGTTATCGGTTCATCTGAAGCTCATGTGTTATGTATCTGAACTATGGATGATTAGATGTCATAGTTTCAATTTGAAAGTGTAGCATTCCATTTGTTTGTTGGCAAATTTTTATAACTCTGATTTTATTTAACTCGTTGGGTTGAAATGGGGTGTTACATTAGTGGTATCAGAGCAGGTCGGTCCGTCCGGTCATGTCGTCGAGTTGTAGTTTTGTCTAACAATTGAGTATTGTTAATCTGAATTCTAATTGTTGTTTATGTTGTAGTGATAAGTTGAGATGGCTGGAAGAAATGATGTTGCACTTGCTGCTGCTCTGCAAGCGATGGCTCAGGCTATGTAGAATCAACCAAATGCCGACGAGAATGCTGGATCTCGCAGTTTGGCGACTTTCCAAAGGGAGAATCCTCTTACCTTCAAGGGTAAGTATGACCCTGATGGAGCATTGGATTGGCTGAAAGAGATTGAGAGAATCTTCGTGTGATGGACTTCACTCCAGCGCAAAAGGTTTGTTATGGTACTCATATGCTAGCGGACGAGGCTCATGACTGGTGGTTAGAGACTTGTCAAAGATTGGAAGCTGCAGGTGAGAATGTCACTTGGGATGTGTTCTGTAGGGAATTTCTGAGGAAGTATTTTCCTGAAGATGTTTGTGGTAAGAAGGAAATTGAGTTTCTTGAGCTGAAGCAAGGGAGTATTTCGGTTGTTGAGTATGCTGCAAAGTTTTCTGAGTTGGCTAAGTTTTATCCACACTATAATGAGGAAGATGCTGAGTTTTCGAAGTGCATCAAGTTTGAGAACAGGTTGCGCCCGGAGATCAAAAAGGCAATTGGATACCAGAAAATTCGTGTCTTTGCTGATTTGATTGATAGTTGCAGGATTTATGAAGAGGATAATAATGCTCACTATAAGATTATCAATGAGAAGATGGGTAAGCACCAACAGAACCGTGGTAAGCCTTATGATTCCCCAACTGGTAAAGGTAAACAGAAAGTTGCTCAGGGCCAGAGGACTAGTGAGGGAGATGCTCCTGCTAGTGTAGTGTGCTTCAAATGAGGAAAACCTGGTCATAAGAGTAATGTGTCTGCTATTGAGGTGAAGAGGTGTTTCCTTTGTGGTAAGACTGGACATGTTGTATCTGAATGCAAGCATAAAGAGATGATTTGTTTCAACTGTGGCAAAGAAGTACACATTGGTAGTCAGTGTCAGAAACCAAAGAAGACGCAAACCAGTGGAAAGGTGTTTGCTTTGGCTGGGACTCCGTCAGCTAGTGAGGACAGACTCATCAGAGATACATGTTTAATTAATAGTACGCCTTTAAT